GGGTTATATACTTAGTTCGTTCCTCTCCTAAAGTGGATGATGTTTTTGCCAAGACAAGAATAATAGTAAATATCAAAGCTAGCCTAGAACATCTTAGAAAGCAAGTTGGCTTAACGTAAGGTAGTGATCTCGTGAACAATTTGTTCTAATGAAATATGCATATGTGAATAAGCTATGAATCTAGATGGTAGTAACAAAACAAATAAACTAAGTGCAATGGAATAAAACATGTGGAACAGTTGGATCAATTAAAAGCGCCAAATAATAAGGATTGATTGGTGATTAGAAATATAATAGCTATTCAGTTTAAATTTATTTCTTCTAACATTTTATAAGTGGAGAATTAAATTGAAAAATATATGCTTGTTTCGTCCATTTCATTCTTTCTTTTCTTTGTGGCGTACCCCGAAGTATGAAATGATATATTATATACTTTAATTGGAAGATAATATGATCAAATAAAGATTCAAAGAATATCAAAGATTCAAGAGACCCCAAGAGCGAAAGAGGCAGGCTTTAAGCGAACAGAGAGAATAAAATCAGAGTTAGGATTGGTGAGCTCTTTGTTTAACTAAGAAGACTGCCGCTTTAACAAAGATCGATGTCTCTCTCTTATCTCTTTCTAACACATGTACTTTGTTTTATGGGACAAGAAACCTAAACTACGATTACCCCAAGACACTAATCTGTTAACCTTTAGCTTTTCCATTTAAATTACATACATTATATCTTATATATGTTTCGTCACGAGATAAAACTATATTATATCTTCACCTGACTTTAAAACTTCAGTTTGTGCTGGTTGAAAGTGCAATTAGTGCACTCTAGTTATATTTTTAAGTTGCATATGGTTAAATTATCGAATAGTGAATCAAACTAGTGTAAGAATTATATGAAGTGTAACTCTGAGACAAAAGAACCAAACGAAAAGTATTAATAAAAATTTCATGTATTTAAATATGCACCTTTTTTTGTCAACATGGTTCAGTACCGGATGATTTTCTCAAATATCTTTTGTGGAGAAAAACCATTTAGATATGTTTAATTATAAATAAACTAGATTTTGACTCACGCTAGTCAAGCGTAGGATTAAATGAGTAAATAAGTTCATAAATCAATTTCTTTTTTAAAATAACTTTTTGAATATTTAAAATGTATGACAAAACATATGATTTTAATATTTATAAACATAGAAATATGATATGTATTGTGTATAAATGTAATAAAGTTGAATACTTTGATCAAACATGTTAATGCCATTAGTTTAAATATTTTTATGTGTAAAATGGATCAAAGTATATGTAAATATTATTTTTCAATATATTTTAA